CATACCATTATCTGACCGGAGAATCTGTGCTGCCAGCTCACATTTTTGAGGGGAAAAAATCATTCTGAAAGGTGATATGGGAGGGAGATCCCACCATGTACTGTATGTGAATTTGACTATCACATTTCCACACTGTATATTTTGTTTTACAAATTGAACATCCCAAGATTCTTTAGCCAATCATCTCAAGTCCCTTTATTATCTTTCTGATCCTTCTTTTAACTCTAATTTATTAATATTCTTCGGGAAACATGATGGATGTAATCATATACACTATTCCAGACAGTTTCACTAGTACTAAATAAAGAGAATCATTTAAAGTATCTTTGATACAGTGCTTCTTTTGATGTAGCCCAGAAGAGATTAACCTTTTTTACATTATCTGTCTCACTCTGCTGAGTCATGTCGTGTTTGTTGTCAGTAACAAGACCCAAGTACTTCACCATGCCATGAATCTGCTTTTGGTGTAACATGGTTAGAATGCAGTATTGCAGGCCAACTCTGCCCACAGTTAAATCCTGGTAGACTCAAAGTTGACTCAGCCTTTCATCCTTTCAAGATCCGTAAAATGAGGACCTAGATTGTTGGGAGCAATATGCTGACTCTGTAAACCACCTAGAGAGTGCTGTAAAGTACTATGAAGCTGTATATACTGTATGTCGGTTCCACCACAAAACCGTGCTCGACTAAACCGCGCCTGACTAAACCACGTCGCTGACGTCATCAACAGGGTGACAACAGCGTGGAGAGAGAAGCACGCTGTAAACCCTAAAATTAACCCCTAAACCTAAACCTAACCCCCCTAAACCTAACCCCCCTAAACCTAACCCCCTAAACCTAATCCTAAACCTAACCCTTAACCTAACCCTAAACTTAACCCTAAACCTAATCCTAACCCTTAACCTAACCCTAAACCTTAACCTAACCCTAACCCTAACCCTAATCCTAACCCTAACCCTAACCCTTAACCTAACCCTAAANAGATTTGACGAACCGGTTCTACCGAACTGGTGCAAACTGGTAGGAACCCACCTCTGGTAGTGAAACTGAAGTTTATTAAACTGGAAGCCTTTTCTCCTAAAAAGATCCTGTATTTTACAGGAAAGATGGGGAGGGGGAGAGGGAGGGAACAAGACTATTTTCACCCTGGAAAAATAATATTGTAGAGTCCTTGTTTTCTGAGCCTCGAATGCTCGCTTGTAGCATTTCATTACACAGTACATAACATTATCAATATTCTATTGAGAAAATAGTATTTGAGCAAGTATTAAGGACATAAAGCTTTTTACAAGAAAACAAAGCTGATGATTCAAATCTAGATCAATGGAAAAGGGAGTAAATTTGTAACACCGAGACATTTGACTTTTAACGAAAGCCTTGCAAAGAAGAAAATGACTATAAAGTCACTGAGGTGTGGAATAACAGTTAACAAACTGGAAGGCTAGGTGAGTTAACTGCAGGAGAACCAATGGGTGACAAATTCATAATCAGAGTGTTGAAGCTGCTAATTTAATAACCATGTGGTTCTTTTCACTTCATCGGTTTCCACAGTGGAATATGTAGTATATAAATATATATCTTTAATCTTTGAAGGTCTGCATTTGGGCAGCATTGGAGTAGAAAAGTCTTATCGAGATTCTCAATCATCCAGGTCATGGTTGTCCAGCTGCCTTTTCAAAAGACAGCTGGAATTCCTTGGTTTTTTTTCCTTGAAAACATTTTGCTTCTCATCCAAGAAGCTTCTTCAGAACGCGAAACATTTTCAAAGAAAAAAAGCAAGAAACTTCTAATTGTCTTCTGAAAAGCCTCTTTGGGGAGGAGTTGAAAAGGTGGTCCAAATTTGTTTTGAAGGTTCTTTAGTGGATCGAGGAAGAGAAGAGACGAGAGCCAGGACTTCAAGGAACACAGGTTTATTCAAAGCAACTATGTACAAGCGATTCAAAAGTATCCTCTGCTTGACATCTATTTAAACAGGCTGTCAAAGCAGGGGGACCAATGGCCGCGCTCCCAGCTTCTGGCAACTGATGACGCTGCGCCCTAGCCAATCCGGGCGCCTCTAGCGGCTAGCAACAGGCTATGTTGCACCCCAGCCAATCAGGGCGCAGCCTGGTCTGTTGCCAGCCGTCAGGTCCTATGTTGAGTACTTTTTGAGTCCTCAACAGGTTCTCTTTGATTATTACAGATGCAGGAGTAAAACCAAACAGGATTAAGTTTGATAAAAGACTTCTCAGAATCTTAGGTCTCTCAGCTAGAGTAAAAAGCTAAAAAGCACCTGAGAAGAAGGCAGGGGCACAAACTTTTATACTGCATGCCTATGTGCATATAACCACCAGATCAAATCTTGAAAGATAATCCATCTTGTAGCTTTTCTTGACCTCTATGATTTAGTTTCACTGGCTTTGATTCCCGTTTGTTCCATCTCTGGGCCTATTTTGGAGCCTGTGAAGGTCTGCCTCTGCACACTTTTCTTGAACCAGATGTTGTTTCATTCTCAACAAGAAAGACATGGCTTATGTTACTTCTGATGTTTGCTCAATGTTGATTTGAAATTATACATACATACATACATACATACATACATACATACATACATACATACATACATACATACGATTTTTACAACCCCT